AACTGACATTAACTGACATCAACTGACATCAACTGTCGTCCTTCTGCTACTTTCTTCTGTTTTGTCTTTATGATTTGGGTTAACCGAAGTTATTGTTCGCTCAGCAATTACTTCTAGTCTTCTTTGTTGTGGTTATTTCTGCTAAGTTATTCAATATTTATTTGGTTTTGTGTGTTATTCGTGATTCTCGCCATTAATGATTTGCAGGTCTGTCAAATATCTTTTGGATGAAGTTAATTGAGCTGTTGTTCAGGCTGTAAAATGTTAGAAAGAAGTGAAACGGCCGTCACCAAGTGCCCAAATATCCACTAGTGTTGTCTTCCGTCTGCTTTCTTTGTCTGGGTGTAATCTAAAACCCACAGATATTTCAGTTACAGCGAAATCCGCGCACTTAAATAGCAGAAAAACATGTTTTAAAGTTTGTTCTCGATATGTGACTTGGATGATTAAAGTTACTTGATCAGATTTGTTGACAAATAATGTTCTGTTAATGAACTAATCAAGAAAAAAACAAGCAAATTAAACACACTACTGTGGTCTTTCGGAAATTGCGATGAGCATTATTTGTTGACATTTTATACACATTACTCACTTAATGGGGGAAAAAAAGATTTATAGCAGCTGATAAGTACCAAGAAATGTCACACATGAATGCCAAAGATATGTTTTGAGGTCATTTAGAGACGGTCCATTACAGAGTTTGTCCACTAGAAAGCACAGGACTTTATTTTCTTAGCTGTAAAATGTCACATTAAACTGAGCAGCAGTGTTTAAGTGTCCAAAAAAAAGGTTGTTTATGTTAAGAAATGAATACCAGCTGATAATGACATTATAAAAAAATGTAAAACTCTCAAACATCGATATTGGCTTTGGCCTCAAGTATCCAGTATCAGTTGTGCTATAATTACTGGAACGCAATGTTTTTTGATGCAGGAACACCATGGAGGAACAAACTGCGGACATAGAGGTGACGGTCAAAACATTAGACTCCCAAAGCAGAACCTACACTGTTGGTGCTCAGGTAAATTCATCCGTTCATACTGCAAATTCTGACGCGTTTTCTCATTTTCAGTCGGCCTTTTTTGCGGTAGTCGGACTCGTGTGTGTACCATCTTTTTTTTGTAGTTGACAGTGAAAGAGTTCAAGGAGCACATTGCCCCTTCGGTGGGTATCCCTGTGGACAAACAGAGGCTGATCTACCAGGGCAGAGTCTTACAGGATGAAAGGACTCTGACAGACTATAGTAAGTAACCGAGAGGAACGTGACATTTTGTTTTAAGGGCATTTGTTTTTGCAATTTTTCCTGTAATCCTGCTGCATGTTCATAAACTGGTTTTCTTATTTATTTGTCATTATTTGCACACTGATTCTTAACATTGAGTAGGTAAATAAAGAGGAATTTACTTTCAGGGTTGCTATTATTTTATCGTTCAGTTTTCTGTTTCTTCCTTTTATCATCACTATTGTGGGCAAAAGTAAAGTAAAGCAAGTTAGCTTTGTCAAACATATGGTTGCTTTGATTTCGCTCGCTTCTGTCTGTCTGTGTTTATACAGTATTCCTGGCTAAAGTAATTGGATATAACGTCAAGGCCTTCAGCAATGAATTTCTCCTGTTTCTCAAAACAAGCGCGACGTAAACTAACTATCAGATATGGACAGATGTAACCGTAGTTCTCTGTTGTTGTCCCAGATGTGGGTGGCAAGGTGATACACCTTGTGGAGCGGGCGCCGCCTCCGCCGTCCCAGCCTGGCTCGGGGTCGGGAGGCACTTCAGCCGACAGTGGGTCTGCCTCGTCCTCCCAGGGAACACCACAAGTGCCTCCACATGATCGCAACGCTAACAGCTACGTAATGCTCGGCACCTTCAACCTCCCTGTTAACATCATGGACCCCCAGCAGATACAGGTGGGTCCAGTTGGTGATTTGTTCAGGGAATTGAGTTGCAATGTGTGTGTAGGTGCCAGATTTGGACGAGGACAATGAAAAACGACAACATCTGCCGTCTATTTTGAGTCCAACAATAATATAGTGTGGCAATGCTGAATCAATGGAGAACTCTTTTAATATTTATTTTATTCTCCACAATTATAAATGTGCATTTTTGTTATTTATTCTCCCAGTGCTCTCACATCTGACATACCTCTCCGTATAACAAAAGGCAGTGTGAGGTCCAGCTCCCTATCTCTCTTACAGTCCAGTATTAAGAACAGCTGATAACTGTTATCCAGTGTGTTGCCCGGCCTTAATCATGTTTCATTTAATGACCGTTTGTCTTGCATGTTAGTTGTTGTTTTCAAAGGTGCTTTACTTGACTGCTGTTACTCTTGTTTAGATGTCAGTTCAGCAGATGGTGTCTGGCATGGGAGAGAATGCCAGGAATGCCAGAGTCACAACCAGCACTGGGGTAAGATACTAAGCCTGCTGATACGTATACGATCCTTAATAACATTATCCTGTGTTTGTTGATTGTCAGCTTTTCTATTACAGAGCAATGGGTCTGTGAATGTGCACATTGATATGGACCAACCAGTGCAAAGCGAGCCGAGGCTGAGGCTTGTGCTGGCTGAGAACCTACTGAGGGACATCAACGATATTATCCACAGGATGGAGGTGAAAGCTCAACCGTCCAATTACTCCAGTAACAAAGCTAAAGAGTAATCGCTGCATTATCAGTAACAAATTTTCCTGCTATCTATGCTGTCTTTTTTCAGGGTCAATCGAGCGACTCGTCCTCCCAAACAGAGACAACTTCTGCTGCTGCTGCTGGTGCTGCTGCTCCCCCTCCTCCTCCATCTTCATCTACATCCACTCCCTCCCCCTCTGCTCAGCCCATGGACACCTCCCCACCTCCAACTACTCCCCCACCTCAACCTACCTCTTCAGCACAATCTGAGGGACCGACACCCCAACCTGGACCCAAGTGAGACATCTTCTCTCTCTCTGTGACTCAGATCGTTACCCATGCCACATAGTTGAGGATTCACACAAGCATTTCTGTTTGTTTGTTTTTTAACTCCAAACCTTTTTAAGGTCATGACCACTTACCAGTTTTGTGAACAGTTATTGTGTTTGATTGTAATCAGCTTTGCCTTTCTTTCTTCTCCTAGTCATCCCAGCCCAGCTGAGTTGGCAGAGATGTTGACTGAACTGCGGCGGGTAGAGGAGAGACTGCAGCCGTTCATTCAGAGAGCGCACACCTTGCTAGAGACAGCCACTACTGCAGAATACAACAATAATAGAGTATGACTCAAAAAGCCAGATAATAATTAACTGCTCATCCTTGGTATCATTTATTTTATTAGAATGCCTGAATATCTTTTAAAATGTTTAATATTTCAAAAATTACCAAATCAAATCCTAAATTGTTAAATTCGTAAGGCAGCAGTAACTTAAATATCAGGTGATAATAATTATCATTATTATTTTTACGGGACAGTAAAGACACTTCCTGGAGTCTCCTGGCTAGTTGCCTGGTAACTGGGCCTGATCAAGAAATACTTACAAAAAACAGCACATTATCATTTTCACACTTCTGTTTTTCTAAGTATTAAACTTTGAGATATGTGGCAGTTAGTGAGTTTCAGAGGTGCTTGTTAAGATAAGATAAGATGTTCCTTTATTGTTCCCCCGCGTTGGGGGATTTTGTTATCGTTTGACAACCAGACTAGCTGTTTATCCCGTTGTGTAAATAAGTTAGCTGGCTGCTGATGGTAGACGGGTATCAATCTTCCCATCTGTTGGCAAGAAAACAAATAAATATATTTCTCATGATTTGTTTCTTTGTTGCCACAGGAGAGAGAGGAGGACCAGCGCACTCTCGTCCTGACATGGGAGTGTCTCCGTCTACTTGGCAACGCCCTCGTGGCCCTCAGTGACCTGCGATTGAACCTCATGAGCCCTGTGCCCCGCCACCTACATGTGGTCCGCCCGTTTACCCACTATGCTACCCCAGTCACTTTGCCTGGAGCTGTACACCACCACATCCCAGTGCAAGTAAGTGAATGCAAGCATATTTTAGTTAAAAGTTATTCAGCTGAACATTTAATATGACAAGACTGACTGTGCCTGCAATTTCACCGACAGATGAACCTCGGTGCCACGGTGACTGTTGCGGGTAACAGCACTGAGGGACAAGCTCCGCCTACCCAGTCGTCAAACCAGTCTGAGCAGGCAGGTCAGGGACAGACCTCCCCCCCACAGACTTCCCCTTCTAATCAGCAGGCTGGACAGGGACAGGCTGGCCCCCGGGTCATCAGGATCAGCCACCAGGCAGTTCCGGTGGTCATGATGCAGATGAACACGGATGGTGTGTTGTCCCCTACCCGCCACTGATTGAATGCTCGTCCACATCAAAGCTGTTTGTGTGTCATGTTGCCGGGCGACATTGGAGTTAAATGATTGCACGCTACAAAACACTACCGCATCAGATTTCTTTTCCCAATGTTTGTGGAATG